CCATCTCCTCAAGAGGAAGCAAAGTTCCTTGTGTCTTCTTCAAAATCAAGAAGATCATCTTCATCTGTGGTACTATCAAATGTTCAAGTTCCACAAAATTTTGAGAAGATGTAAGTCTCAGTGCTCAAATTCTGTCAATCTGTATCAGCGTACTTTTTTGTTTTTCTCAGGCTGGACGGTGTTGATATTATGAAAACAAATTTATATGTGAGTACAAAGGGTTGAGCTCTCTTGGCATTAATTACAGGAATGAGACCATCAGATGCTATTGGGCGTAGGAATAAAAGTTAATTTATCCTGTTTCTATCTTTGATCATCAAACAATTAACTAAGCGGGTATCATCATCCATTTAGCTATTGCAGTCTGATATGGGACTTTTGAGTCATGCCTAAGCATTTACTCCTCTCTTGCTCGGCTACTCAGTTACATCTCTTTATGGAAAAAATGATAGTTCTGCAAATTCCTTAAGATCTGAGAATTCGCTGATTGATGACTGTTAAACCTTTTACCTCTTATTCAGACGCTAATACGTTGTAATAAAAAAGTCAGGCACCGGTTTCTTCTTGGCTTGGATAATGCAGTGCGTTATTACCACTTGGTAGTTATGGGTGGTAAAAGCTCATCTTTTGTGGTATGCTAGTCATTGCTAGATCTGATTTTTTCATTGCTCTTGTTAAGCTGTAGATTTGAGTGGATTTGGTTGATATTTCTGTCATTTCTCTATGAAACTTTTATAGTTTTATATTTTTACTATTCTTCATTCCATGGTGTTCTTATCATGAATGTATGTAAGCATATTTACATTTCTCTCAACAGTGTTTGCTCGTTTGACTTTCTTTTGACAATTTTCCTTCTGGTCCTTGGTTTCTAGAGTGGTTCACACACTCAGTCACAAATTTCGTACTGCAACAAGTATAGTGCGGACCTCGCTGTCTTTACCAATCAAATCGGACCATGTGCTTTTAAAAGTCATTTATGCTGGCGTTAATGCTAGTGATGTAAGTTCCTTTCTCTGTAGTTTCATTTTGAAATTGTCCAGTTTCAGTTAAAATGCAAAGTATGTATCGTATAATTGGATGTTCTTCCTGAATAATGAAATATGTATTAGGAAGTTTTCTTCTCTTCTATTTGGAACTTATTGTTACGCTGTTCGCGTACCATATTCTGTGTCAATAAGTCTGTAAGCTTGTTGGATAAGTTATAGGCTGATATGGGAATTTACTGTTGCCTTTGTATTGCTTCTGCCTTTAGATACCAGGACCTGTAAATGTGGTTCTATCTCTTTATCATCGATCCATTCATGGAATTGACGACCACTTTCTTAATGCATCCTCTCACAATGCCTTTCTTGCTTAAACAAGTATTGATGAAGAATTGGCAATTGAACAAAGTGGTATAAGCCTTCTACATAATTTGAAAGAACTTTTTGGATGGAAGTTTGCTTGTAAATCTGCAGTGCTACTTACTGTTGTTCCCTGTAAGGTGTTCCTATAAATCAGTGTGTTAGTACATGTGGGGTCATATATATATCTGAACTCCTCCTGGCTTGACATATTTTCTTTAACAATACGTTTTGTTACAGGTGAATTTTAGTTCAGGTAGTTATTTCAGCGGCAGCAAGAAGGACATTGCCTCTCGTCTCCCATTTGATGCTGGATTTGAGGTGTACTAGCAATTCTATAAGTTTATAATTGAAGTTTGTTTAATCTCAATGAAAAATCAGATTGATCAACCATTTAGTTGTTTTGATGAGATGAGCAATGATCTGATTTTTGCTGTCCGTGACTTTGATGGCTTTATTACTCTACAATTTAGAACCTTGGCTGCATTTAATTTACTTTTTGTTTTAAATCCATTATATGCTGGATTCTGACTTTATGCAGAATTGCAGTTTTCAGGGTTTTAGAATTTTTATATTAGTTTCATTCCTCTCTCTCTCTCTACACACACACACACGTATTTCTACATACTCTATATATATATATGCAAGACGTGCATGTGTTACTTTGTTGCATCCTCTCAGGATGCAGTAGTTAATTATGAACTATTGGAGCTTAAATTGTTTGTATTGGTCAAAGATTAGGACCACCTTTCACTGTCCTCGTTGCCGTTGAAGTTAAAAGAGTGCATAAGTTTTCCATTGTCTATATGTGCATCTTTGACAACAGATGAGAAGTTTCAAAGCTTCTTGATTTATGATTCTATTTAAAGACTTTGCTATGGGAGGATCAGTCTACCCATTTGGTATAGATTGTTCTCGTGGATGGGCTCACGTCTAAAATTTAATATCATTACGTTGAAGGCTGTTGGGATAGTTGCTGCAGTTGGTGACTCTGTGAAAAATCTGAAAGTTGGAACTCCTGCTGCTATTATGACTTTCGGAAGCTATGCTGAATATACGATGGTAACTACTTTAATATATAGGTCATACTATTCTTCTATGGCTGAAATGATCTCTGCTTTAGATCATGGTTATGACCTTTATGAATTTTCACATCAACAATATAGGTACATTCGAAGCATATTCTTCCTGTTCCAAGACCAGATCCTGAAGTTGTTGCCATGCTTACATCAGGACTGACAGCCTCGATTGCTTTGGAGAAGGTTTCTGTGGCAATCGTTTTCAATTATTTATTTCCCTCAATATCCTATAACACACCGCCCTTGCAAGATTTTATCACTCAGTATCCCACAATCTAGCTTCTGATCTTCTGTAATTCTTTATTTATTTTAGACCACATGAAAAACACTAGACAGGTGTTTAGTTAATGACTAAACTAGCTTCTCCACTGTTTTTCCTTGGATGTGAAGGCTGCACAAATGGACTCGGGAAAAGTAGTTCTCGTGACTGCTGCTGCTGGAGGGACTGGGCAGTTTGCAGTTCAGGTGCACTGTCAAACTAGATAGTTTCTATTTCTTTTAGGTTGACTTTTCATGGGCAGTACATTTGGACCCCAAACTATTATTTAACAAAACAATTTGAAGTACTGTAGTTGCTTTTCCATTCTCTTTTGCTATAGTTTTGTTGGTCGACTGGTGTGGAGCCTATCAAGGATCACATGATACTTTAATGTTTTTACTATGTTTATTTTTTTCTGTGATAAAATGCCTTCTTAACTTGTATCAATACATGTTAGCATCAACTTTTATCTTCTTCTTAACTGTTTTTTCCAAGTCTGAAGTTAGGTAATTAATACTGAACGCTTATTAATGCAGCTTGCAAAATTAGCTGGAAATACTGTTGTTGCAACTTGTGGAGGTAAAGAAAAGGCTACACTTTTGAGGGAATTGGGAGTTGATCGAGTCATCGACTACAAAAAAGAAGATATAAAAACAGTATGTTTTCTCAGATTGGAAATCAATTTATGAAGTATTTTAATCCTGTTCTGTCCTAGTTGGGCTTTCCTAAAGTACCTTAATACCATAGTAAAGGTGTTCTGGAGCAGTTACATCCGTGCAAGTTATGAAAACAGGGAGTTTTTTAATTCTGCGTTCCATATCAACTACATTCTTTCTAATCTAAATTCTTCAGAACTGATTCACTGGATGAAAAACTAGTATTCTCCAGTTTAGCAGTTTTTAGTGCTTACTGTTGGAATGCTTTATGCAGGTCTTGAAGAATGAATTCCCTAAAGGTGTTGACATTGTATACGAGTCTGTTGGTGGTCAAATGTTCGATCTATGCTTGAATGCATTGGCAATCTACGGAAAACTTGTAGTGATTGGAATGATCTCCCAGGTTTGGACCTATAATGGGACTTGCTTTAACGTTTCTGCTCCTTAGGGGTTCTACCATTCTCTCCCTCAACGTAGGCGCACTCCTAACATTAACTGATGACTTGTGATTCCAGTATCAAGGGGAAGATGGATGGAAGCCATTAAATTACACTGGGTTATGCGAAAAGCTTCTAGCAAAAAGTCAAACTGTGGTAAGTAAGCTAGTAATTGTTTGATACATGTGATGCTTTTTGTTAATTTTTTCATGCCATCAATTTTTCGACCTTTTTTTTTTTTGTAAATTTTTTGAATTTACTGTATTCGGTTTCTGAATGGAGCTTAAGAGCCCGGTTTTGTTGTGCTTCGATTTGCTCATATGATGTTTTCAGGCTGGATTTTTCTTGGTACAATATGCTCATTTTTGGCAAGAGCATCTCGACAGGCTATTCCATCTCTTCTCTGTGGGGAAGCTCAAGGTAAGTTACTTTCATCTGACCCATTACTGAAACATAAAATACGTGTGTTGCTCTGCCCTTATTCTGGAGTGAAACGTCTTCAAACTTCCTAGACCTGAAGTCAATAACCAACCGGTATTTTACCTGAGTTTACTTAGGAGGAACGATCTTAGTTCCAAGGATCTTTATGCACTGTGTTTTAAATGATTCCTTTCTTCATTTTCATGACAGGTTGCTATAGACCCAAAAAGATTCCTAGGCCTTCAATCAGTTGCTGATGCTGTGGAGTATCTCCATTCTGGCAAAAGTACTGGCAAGGTACGACTCTCATCAACCAATTTCTCTTATAGTCTTATATATATATATATGTGTGTGCGCGCGCGCGCGCGCTCTCTTATATAAAAAGTTTCAAATCTGAAAAAACTGGCAGGTGGTGGTTTGCGTCGACCCGAAATACTGTGAACAAGTGTCAAAATTATGAGGGCAAGCATCCAGAGGGAGCAAGTCTTGTAGACCTTTGTGAAAATAAATTAAATAATTGGATGCGATTCAACTAGTAAGTGCCCCTATAATAATATAAACTAAGTGTGATTGACTCTTGCCCACAGTTATCCGTTAAACAAGCACCACGTGCCTTTGTTAATCATTTTTATACTCCGTCCTCTCTTCCGTCCTATTGATATTGTATCACATATATCTGGTTGGGTTGTACAAAGAAGCGTTTCTTTGTTTTTCTCAATGATGAAGAATATATATATATATATATACAGTGAGGGAGAGATGATGCGTTCTCGAGCATTTCATGCACACAAGTGAATGACGTTTCAAGTAAACGACATCTTCAGGAATTATAAAAGAGAGGCTACAAAGTGCAGCAGCATCAAGGTTCACAAGAAAAGCACCATTTAGAGGGCTCAACGTATATATACTTCTCTTCCGAAAGCATAACGGTTGAACTATTTTTGTTACATTCAGATTCAGGGTTTATGTACAAAATATGCACAAAAAAAAGTTTCATTTTGTGAGCCAAAAAGTAGCCTCTTCTGCATCGGAGCATCAGTACGGTTCCAAGAGCCCTCTTTTTGCCTGCCAAAGTATATATATTAAACTTCACATTGTCATCATAATTGGGCAAATCCGCGAATAGGTGAAGCAGAATGTAAAAAATAGACAGACAGAGGGTGGAGACAGAAGAGGATGCTGGACCCTCAAACAATAGATACAACTGACATCACAGGTCTTGTACAACGCCAAAATGGGAAAAGGAAAAAAAGAGGACCTCGTGCAGACTTCTGAAATGTGACCTTCTTCATGTCAAATGGCTGGTGTCAAATTGGTGGTTGAATCAATGATGAGAAAACTTGCTTCCTTGTAACTAGGGGGAGGCTTATCTGTGACTCGACTGGACCTTCTCACAGCAGCAGGGAAAACCTGCTGAAGTAACCTGAGCTTTTTTCAGCCACCAAAATATGATAAAAATGAGTCCATTAATAAGATGACAGAGAATAAAAGGGTGTAGACAGAGAAAGAATTAAGTAGACGGTATATACTAATAAAAGAGAGAATGAACAAAGCATAAGTTGCAAGCTTGGTTGCAGGTCGGTCATTCAATCAAATCTCTGCATCTAGTAAAATCCAAAGGGTGTGTAGCAGTGCACCCCTTCGGGTCTAGAGGTGGGTTCCTCTCCCTCTAACTCCCCTTGATCCAGTTGGGCATTCCCCTAGGATAGGTTATAGTAGGAGTAGGAATTTATGATTGACCAAAGAGTGAGAGAGGGGAGAAAGTTTCTTCTTGTTTTGCTCAAACATTTCAAACCGCCATTCCTCATATGCTAATGCCCTGCTTGGCACCGCCATTATTAGAAAGAGATTGATAGTGGTAGCATAAAATATGGGGGAGAGGAAGATGAAGAGTTGTACAAGCCTACAAGGGGGAAGGTATATTCTCGGGATTAAGACATGATCAAGAAGCCAGGAAAGGCAGATGATTCACACTAGCCCAGCTGCCCCCAAAAGAAATATGGTAAGTTCTTATTCTGCACAGGCTCCGTATTTGTGGATCCAACCCAAGATTTACCCACCCAATCATGCATATATTCCAGTTCCTTACAACCCAATTAGTTATTGGGTGGCTCAGGTTTCAGTCATTTATGATCAACTGGTTAAGACTTACTCAGTGATTATGTCTGTGTGGTTTATTGTCAATTATTTAGGTGATCTGTTATGTATTAGTTAAAATTAATAATGCTCACCTTGTTACCTACAATTTGCTTGCTTGAATGCACTTTTTAAGATGCTTTTCAACAGTTGGACATGTAAGAGATTTTTTTTTTTTTCCAGGAATCTAATTTTTTTTCCTTTTCTAGAATACAAGACCTATGAACAGGTAGTTACTTCGTAGATGATATAGATTTCAGCCAGGAGAAAAAGACTAGCTTTACTGGCAATTGTTTATCTTGGACAATTAGCACCCCCCCCCCTCTCCCCTCACCTTATCTTTTCTCCTCACCTTAATTGGTTTGAGTGACTCAGTAGATACCAAATTCTAACTTCAATACCCTTTGGGAATATTAGTTACTTGTCTTCAATTTTGTTAGGTAGGAGGTGTGCCAATCATGCCCTTTAGCTACTAACTCCTAAATCATGATTGACATGCACAGTCCTTGTGTTATACTACACTGCGAATATCAGAAGTGCAATTTAAGGTAGCATACTGGCTTCCGATACAAATGCTACAAGATTATTAATCAGCAGAAAATTTAAGGAGACCAGAAATTGATCAGAAGCATTGAGTCTGCTACTATTCTAAGGCATAAGCGCATTACCAACTAAGTCGCACGAAGAAATGACCCTGAGGGAAATACAAGTACATTCTCTAAAGTGTAAAACTTTTACCTTATTCCTAAAGATTACCAGAATGCAAACTAGAGAATAAATACTCATTTATTTAAGTTGCAATGCGATTAAAACTGTAAAACCCCAAAAAAGGAATGCAATGTATAAAGCATACTATGTGTGCTGATTTACCAAAGAGACGGTATAAAGAAACGTGTCTTTCACATGTGCATGTGTATGATTTCTCCTCAAAGTTATAAATTTGTGGACGCAGAAATATCCACTAAAAATCTTCTAATATGTTAATTAACCAAGTTGTTGCTCACCAAGGAACATGAGCTTCTTCTTGGAACCTCAACTCATGCCTGTGCATGTGCATGTTTAGAGCCTTCATCTAAATATTAAGCCTCATTCTTACCTGATGCTTCTCTTTAAGCTTCTTTTCAAGAGTCTCGACCTCTTCTGTTACAAAATAATGCTCAATCCTGGCTTGTTTGTACCTCTTTGATTCCTGAATCTTTCTTGACCGCATTGCAAGCTTTACAAGTTTGTTAAGCCGAGCACGTAAAAATCCAACTTCCATGCCTAGTAGCTCAAAGCCTTCTAATGTCTTGTCCCAGAGAGCAAAATCTTCCTGAGGAGTCAAAATCTTGCAAGATTTGATTGCATCTGCAATTTTAACCGTCTCTGATATAATTCCAGAGGCCAGTGCGCAGCTAATGCTCTTAAGGAGACCAACATGCAGATATGATTTTTGAGCACAACAGAGGTCATAATACTTCAACCGAACGTATTTGGGGAGCTCAGAGTCCAAAATGAGGTTGTTGGCAATTATGTTGAAGCTTTGAAAATTAACAAATGATATTGATTTTCCAGAACCCTCCGCATCATTCAAGATGATAGCACCGTCTCCTTTCATATCAGTCCCTTTGGTCCCTTCTCCTCCTCCACCTTTATCAAGGGATAAAGTACAGAGAGTAACGACAGATGCATGCAAAATATAAAACACAAGGACTGAAAGCAAGCAAAATAAAAGGTATAACTAACCAGAGTGTCTTCCACTGGGATGATTTTCTAAGTTTAAGAGGCCAAGAGCTCCATCCACTTCACCCAAACTAGTTGCTCTCACAATGTAAACCTGCACAATAAATATAAAGTTCTAATTTGAACAGAAAATCCAATAGAACTAGAAACAGGAACCAATGAAATTCAGTCCAACATTTTGGGGAAGTAAGAAATTTGAATTGGAACTTGTAAGCACCAGATTAATTTTGCCATATAATGCCATAGGGTCATGATTAACTTCTCAATTCTGTGTCTCACAATGTTGGACTTTTTAACTGAATAAAACATCTTTCTTCACCTTATTTTTGTTTCTTACCACATTTGTAGCAAAAGAACAGTAGAGTTGTCCAAACAGGACGATAACAATTAGTTGCAATTTTCTCATTCTGAATATACAGTCACGCAATTTTGCTGGATTATTTCAACTTGTTTAGCAGATCATTATATTTAGACATCTAAAATGCTTTCTCCTTCTTCTGCCTCCTCATCCCCTCTCTCTCTCTCTCTCTCTCTCTCTCTCTCTCTCTCTCACTCACACACACACATTTTGGTCCCCAATCTAGTAGTTCTCAACTCACGGGAATGTTAAAGCAAGCTCATTCCACTGAATGTAGTTATCTGTGCAGCATGTGAAATCTCAAGTATTCCTACTTCTTTTAACAACACAAGCCCAACGGTATATTATAGGGGTAACTGATCAGTAGTTTAGTTTATAAAGCAGGCCCAACTCACAAATTGCACGCATATCCAGCGTATCCTGATCACAATCTTTCAAAACCCTGCAAGTACAAGGATAATGCGGTTCCAGTTTACAGACCATCTCATAAAATATGGTGTCATTCATGAAAAGACCTTAATAGTTGCTTGAGCTCTAGTATACTTCTCTCCTGGAGATCTATTTTAACGAACATCAAACTTGGAACTAAGATACCCAACTGCTGTTTATCAGTCCATCTCCCAACAAAAATGTGCCTGGAATCCTTTTGTCTTAACTAGATTTTTTTTTGCCTGAATTTACAACATAATAAGCTTGTATATGAGAGACCTCTACTGGAACTTCAGGCCTAGTAGTTGGTGTATTGCTAATGCATGGAATCTATGAAAACAGCAAGTTGAAGAGATCCAGGAAATTTGTTTCTAAAGCATCAACAGGTTGTCCTTCTGCTCCATGATAGAGCTGTATGACTTGCACCAGAAAACTTCTATGCAATAAACGCTGGATTGCTTTCTAAGATAATATTTGGTTCCTTTTGAAGTTCAAAAGGTAGTTAAACTACTACATGATAAATCAGGATAAAAGGTTCCAAGCATTGAAGAAAATGTGATCCATAGATTTACCTACTTAAAATGGTTACCTTGAATCTACAATCCCCCACCAAATGGTAAACGACAACATCGCCCTCAACCAATTTTTGCGCAATGGAAAAAGGTTTCCAGCCCCCACTAAGTCCAACTTTAGCTGCAAGGAACCTTGCTTCATATTCTTTGCCATTCTCATCTTCCAAAATGACTAATTTATCATGCTTTGGCATATGCTTTCTGCAAAAATCTACTGGAAGCCCCTGCACTTGGATATATAAAGTCAAACATAAAAGCTGGTATCCTGTTAGCTCTTTCAACCTACTTAGACAGGGACTTACCAACCAAAACCCTTGTGTAACATGGGAACGTTGCATTAACTTGAGAAAGCTGGGGACCAAGGATCTAGGTTAGCTCGAACCTCTTCTGCTCGACTCAGAACAGAAGAAGATGGAACTCTGAAATGTTTGATTACCATCCATGACTTGGACTTTATTCTACTAAGAAAATTAATGAAATAAAGGACCATGGCAATCTCTATTCATCAATAATCAAACCAACAATTGTCTATTTAGTTTATGTAAAACCAATTAAATCAAGGATCATCACAAGTTCGACTCATCAATAAATGAAATCAAGCAATTTCTAGTTGGTTTCCACTGTTTTTTTTTCCCTGATATGAAGTCATTTCAGTAAATTCACTTACTCTCTGCTTCTCTTGTGCCTATCGCCAATTACCTGCAGCAGAATAAGTAGAATTCCCTCTTAATAAGCTATTGTTTGATAAATTAAAAATATAGATCGGATCCAAGTTATTAACAGTATAATATGAAACAGGGATGCACGAACTATCAATATGGCACATAGTTAAATGTCCCAAATCATCTGGATAACTGCAGCATATCGTGCTCAATAAAACTTAAGTACATATGAGTATGCATGAATTGCTTATGTTATGCCATCCAATGCCTTCCTTTAAATGCAGTAGATGCAAAGTCGAAGAGAAATTTTGAACCACACAATAACACGAACATACAATTTGCAGAAATGGTTTTACTTGTAAATTAACATTACTTCTGAAGTCTTACAAGTACAACGTTCATCATGCTTGGGGTTTCAGTTTTCAAAAATTCGTGGATTTCAACTTTTTAAGGAATTATCCATAATCAAACCAATACTAACAAGTGATATCACGGCTTAAAGTAGAAGGACGGTAAGAAAACAAACCAGTTAACACCCTAGTCCAAATAGTCTCAAAAGGAACATCCATTGAAACTGATCACCTAACAACTAAAGAAGAGAAGATGAACATTTTCAGAGCATTGACATTTGGATTTAGGGAAGATTACAAATTCATATTTTGGACGTTGCACATGGTACCTTGATCCGCTTGGGGAAGTTGAAAAAAAGAGAAATAAACCAACAAAAATCCTTCCCAATAATGTTCAGCTCACGAGCAGCATGCATGAGACAGAATTGTCTGTTTCACATAAATCCTTTTCATCAATGCATTTTCTTGAATTAAACCAGATTGGCTAAAGGACTAAAGCCACAGATCATTTGCAAGTCCAAATCTGAAGCCTAACTGGAGTCATATGTCATAGTTAACCTTCTCTTTCTAAATCAGCTGAGGCAGAAACGTCTATTTTGTTGGCCAGCTAATTAAAATTAATAAAGGTAGAAATGAGAAATTTTGACTATTGCACAGCGTCAAAAGGGCATTTGAAGAACAAGTAAAAATGATACTAATAACAGTCAGACTTGCATGAGAACATTTCCAGACTTCATACTTTAAAACTCCAAACCCACGAAATGAAAATACAGATTAAAAAAAAAATCACCCTTTAAGGAGGGAAAAAAGGGCAAGAGTAAAAATTCCTCACTTTGTTAATTTCAGAAATTTCAGGGCATTGTCGGTTTCTTTTGGACCTTCTCAGAACCTGGCACAAAAAGCACACAATATAGTATAAGCCTTAAAAGCCCGTGCATGCATATAATCCACTCATCAATGAATGAATTTTATTGTTGGAAGAAGGAGACCTCAGAAGGAGAGCAGTGATGAATAATGGGTTTTCCTTTTGAGAGCAAGTACTGGTGCAGGGTCATGTGATCTTCATGATTAGATTCTGAAGTGGGTTCTTCTGGTTGTTCTCGTTCCATCTTGGGTTGCAGAATATGAGTTTTCTCATCCAATATTTTCCTACATTTTTTTCTAGCTCTTGAGGAGTAAAACAAGACAAGAAGATGAGACTGAGGGACATATGCATACTGGAAATTTCTACTAGTGCATTGAAGGAGGAGTTTGGGAGAGAACCAACAAGCTGTAATGGTGCAGTAATCATAAGGGAGAGAAACAGAGAAAGTCGACCGTTTCGATTGAAAAAATGGTTTGTGGGGGTGTGGGCTTATAAGGTATCAGCTGTGGGAGTTGCTTCGGCGGAGATGATGACACCTGCTGGCCGAGCGGGCAGGACACTTGGGGAAAATCAAAGGCATGGAATGGAAATGAGAGAAGAGGGTGAATTTGTCGTACGGCATGGGAAATTGGGAAGGAAAGAAAATTGGATTCGCGAATTCGGGAAATTTTTACTTCAACCAAGAGGTAGGCAATAGCTTAACTGCTTGTACCTTTTTTTTTTTTTTCAGCAAAAATACATTTGTATCCTAATTTAGAGGGGAGGGGGAGCCTAAGGAGACTATGGTAGAGGGCTAGTGAGGGAAGGGGGAGCCTAAGGAGACTATGGTAGAGGGCTAGTGGGTATACAGACCCAACTAGACCAAGAGAGTGTTCTGGCACAACCCTTAAATTTTTTTCGCTGCAAGTGAAATTTGAACCCTCGTTTACAGCCGAAGGAGGGACTTAAGCCCCTCCCTGATGGCCATTGAACCATTGGCCCAGTGGTTAACTGCTTGTACCTTTTGAGGAGGTGTGCGTTGTATTTTACGTGGTACAAGTACAACCGCGTAAGACATTTACTGGTCTTGCATAGATTGCTCTACCTAGTATGGTTTGGAAATTGAATTAAGTAGCGTTAGCCTGTTACTTCGAATCACCCAATCTTCCATTACCATTGTTAATTTATTAGACTCTTAAATACAAAATGAAACCTTTTAGACTACTAACAAATCGAAAATTGTTACCTGCATGCCATTTTTTTGTCATATATATTTTGGATAAATTTTTTTCTACATTGTCAATGTATATATGATATTTTTTTTATATTAGTATATTTAGATCATGTTACTTTTACATAATATAAAGAGCAAATGAAAAAGAAATGCCACCAAACTATTGCTGTTTACGTGTTTATGTCATTAAACTTTTGTTTTGACCAAAAATATCACTCAACTCTTAAATTTAAATAGATATCATGTGCACTTCTCTTTCTTTGTTTTGATGAGTACAATTTGTATAGCAAGTACTACGACTTGTGTAACCAATGGTTCAAAGTAGGCCTGTCGATGACCCGGATCCGTCAAATGATCCGAATCGGATCCGTCAAATTATTCTAAGTACGGATAGGGATTTAATTCCGCTATCTAGATCGGGATCAGTTTTACCAAATAAAAAAATAGTCGGATACAAAATATAGTATTCCGACCCGGATCCGGATATAAATGGATTAATAATTTAAAATTTACATATTTATCAATATAATTTGATTAGGGTGATATATTTGAATAAGATCAGTTTGATTTCTTTTCTTATTTGATTTTTTTTTTTGTATTAGTTAGAAATTATTTTACAAATGTTGTGAAACTAATCAAATAAACTCCCAAAAAGTAGGGATTGGATTAGTAGTGTAAAAAGAGAAGAGAGAACTATAGTATTATTCATTGATCAAAGTACTTCCAGATTCCAAGGTTACAAATGAAATAGGATTCACCCCTATATATAGGTGATCCAAGATAGAAGGTACATGAACCCTATTAAGTACTAATACATGAATTTAGTACATCAAGTACATCCTTAAATGAGTTCATCCAATGTACCAATGAATCTAGGGAGAATACATGTGACTATCATCTTGAGAATGCAAACGGACATCTTCATCTTGTAATCCTTCTTGAGAATATCAACGGACAGCCACATCTAGAGAATATCAACGGACATCCACATCTTATCATTATTTCATAACACTCCCCCTTGGATGTCCATGACACAAAGAATATGCCTCGTTAAAACCTTACTAGGGAAAAACCCAGTGGGATAAAAACCCTAGTGAAGGAAAAAGAGTACACTATTCTTGTGTAATAAATTCTCCCCCTGATGCAAACATTATATGAGATCTTTTGGCCGACGCATACCAATATTCTTCACCAGTTTCCCAAACGTAGCAGTCAGCAAAGCCTTGGTAAACAAATCTGCCAAATTATTATCCGATCGGATTTGTAGCACATCAATCTCACCATTCTTCATTCCAACGTCGTCTTGTAGGCGAGAAATTAAATCTTGCTAATAAATTCACAGCAAATGATATATCTGGTCTTGTACAATTAGCAAGATAATAAGCGCACCAAATGCACTGAGATATGGTACTTCAGGACCAAGTATCTCTTCATGTTCCTCTTGTGGCCTAAGGGGATCCTTATTAGGATTCAATAATCTGATGACCATTGGGGTACTTAATGTATGTGCTTTATCCAGACGAAATCGCTTTAATACCTTCTGGGTATAAGTAGGTTGGTGGATAAAAATTTTACTCTCTAAATGCTCAATTTGTAAACCAAGGCAGAATTTTGTCTTTCCAAACTCTTTGATCTCAAATATTCGACAGCCTTTTGGATCTCTTCAGGAGTTCCAATCAAATTGAGATCATCAACATATATCGCAATAATCACAAAATTTGACCCATTTTTCTTGATAAAAACACATGGACATATTGGGTCATTGGTATAACCTTCTTTAGTTAACCATTCATTGAGACGGTTATGCCACATACGTCCAGATTGCTTGAGCCCATACAAAGACTTTTGTATTCTAATAGGATACATATCTCTAGGATTTGATTTACATGCTTCAGGCATATTGAATCCTTCAGGGATTCTCATGTAAATATTATTGTCAAGATTCTTATACAAATAAGCAGTGACAACGTCCATCAGACGCATATCAAGTTTTTTCATGCACTGCAATACTCACAAAATATCTAAATGTGATCGTATCCATTACAGGTGAATACGTTTCATCATAATCAAATCCAGACCTTTGTGAAAAGCCTTGGGCTACAAGTCTTGTTTTATATCTCACTATTTCATTCTTTTCATTCCTTTTTCTCACAAAAATCCATTTATATCCAACTGGCTTGACACCTTCAGGCGTTTGGACTACAGGCCCAAAAATATTTCTTTTAGCCAGTGAATCTAATTCAGATTGTATTGGCCTTTTCATTTTGGTCAATCATTTCTATGCCGACATTCATCAACTGATCTAGATTCATGATCCTCATCAACTTCTATAATATCAAGTGCTACATTTCATTAGGCTCCAATTAACTTTTCTATAATTTCATTCTCTTCAGGAGCTGGCTCTTCGGGAGCTGGTTCTTCGGGAGCGACCTCTTCAGGAGGTTAAATTTTGTCATGACATTTATTTAATCTCCGGAGATATTTGAAATCAATGTATACCTTATATAGGTAGGCCGGCCTTTATTTGTAGCACTTGTACATGTCCTTCAGGGACATCAATTTTAACAAGAGTATTTCCTGCAGGAATAGTTGATTTAATAACTCTTCTGGAGTCGATAAATATAATTTTCTTCAAATGAAGAATTTCTTGAACTTCTAGTTCACATTGTTTTGTATGAGGATCGAGGAAATCCAATTGTTCAGATGATTTCCTTTCGGTTGATCTTTTCCTCCCCCTAATGTCGGGATAGATCACTCATCAATAGATCATTCATCAATATTGTACGATATTTAATCGTAAAAGGTGATGCATATCCGACATAAATTTTTTTTGGAACCATGGATAATATAAAGGGGGTATGTATAAATACTTGTCGACATTCAAATATTCTCACTTTTGCCAAATCATATATTCATTGGGATCAGTAAACTTCTGGTTTACTGCATGTGATGATTATTAATCAAATGAGAATAAAGATAACTATATCGATAACCATTACACCCTCGAATGATTAATATGATATAATCAACTTTCATCTGACTTGATTTTTATTATTATCTCATTCAGTGTCTCAATTTGATATCCATCTCGACGGATATCTTTAATAAATTTCTTCGAGTGTTGGGAGAGAGTAGTGCATTATTTACGACAATTTTGGTTCCTTCAGGAAAAATAGAGTGACTCTTCCAGAGCCCTCAATTAATTTTGCACTACCACTGATGGTATTAAATTTGTCTCTCCCATTTCCAAAGAAGAAAAATATCTTTTATTTGTCAATATAGTGTGCGCAGAAGCACTATTAACGAGACAAATGTTATCATCACCATTATTTGATCCCAAACATTTGGCATCCATTTCTTCTTCAGGAAGAAAATAAATGAAACTAAATATTGATAAAAGATACGAGAATAGACATATGCAAAGTAAATTGATAAAACTAACAACATATCAAACAACATACCAAAGTAATGGACAATCCTGCAAAACTAACAATATATCAAACATCTAGACAAATATTAAATATATGATCATTTTGCATCTTCAGGATGCTCAAAGAAATCGGCAATATCCAGGTGTGTCATGTCAGCATCATCATCATCATAAGCATTCTTTTGGTCGATAAAATTTGTCTCGACATCTTTGTCCTTCTTTTTCAATGATGCTTGATAGAGGTCAACAAGATGTTCAGCCGTACGACAGGTACGGGACCAGTGACCTTCCATACCACATCGGTAGCATTTTTCTTCATAAACTTTCTTTTCTCCTTCTTTCGGATCGTAGTTATTTTCTCCTTTTTGGGAAATATTTTGTTGCTTGCCACGGCTATAATTTTCACGAGGCACAAATCTACTACGATCACGTCCACGGCCACGGTCACGTCCACGGCTTCGACCAGAATTTTGAAATTGAGTCCCATTCGCTTCAGGGAATGGACTTGCACCAGTTGGTCGGGACTCATGATTTTTCACCAGTAATTCATTATTTTGTTCAGCCAACAGAAGACATGCAATAAGTTCAGAATATTTTTTAAATCCTCTCTCTCTATATTGCTGCTGCAGGAGCATATTAGAGACATGAAAAGTAGAGAATATTTTCTCTAACATGTTTTCATCAGTGACTTTTTCGCCACACAATGATAATTGAGAAGTAATTCTGAACATGGTTGAATTATATTCGTTGACAGATTTGAAATCTTGTAGTCGTAAGTGGAGCCAATCATATCGGGCCTTTGGAAGAACGACCAACTTCAGGTGATCGTATCTTTCTTTCAAATCTTGCCAAAGGACAAGAGGATCTTTGACAGTAAGGTACTCTACTTTTAGTCCTTCATCTAAATGACGACGAAGGAAAATCATGGCCTTAGCACGGTCTTGGTTTGAGGCATCATTCTCATCAACAATAGTATTACCAAGACCCATTGCCTCAAGATGAATTTCAACATCCAATACCCACGATAAATAATTTTTTCCAGAAATATCAAGAGGTACGAACTCTTGTT